GTGCCTTCATCGGAAGATAAGGTTGACAGGTCTCGATTTCGTGAAGTTTGTAGAAGAAGGCAGACAACAAGCTGTAAAGTTCTAGTAAACCCAACATATACCCAACAGAGTTTTCTAGTAACGCAATAAAAAAGGCAATACAAAAATCATTGGACACCGCAGTTCAGTCTTGTGGTTTGTTTGTTGATCGCACACATCCATTTCTGGCAGCATCGCCTCCATCTGCCTATTACAGTAGATAAGAAATGTACTTAATCCAGGTATAATCCTACCTGTTTATTGCTTTGCAAAAACTACCTAACTGTTTCCTCTTATTTTGACGGCATAAGACATTTTAATGACTGTCATTCAATTGTTACCATGTACCACATGACCCTTGTAAACATAATTGTGTTTACTGACATGAATAAACGAATTGTAATTTGAGTTCTTGAATTTATTTTTGGAAAGATATCAAATTATTTGGATACATTTTTTCTTAGTCGGAACGCACCGTCGCGTCGCTTGGACTGGCAGGACGAATTTCGCCCAAAAACAGATTTGCACTTCACAGCATTTTTTATTATTTCCAAATGAAACTTTTGCAATGTGTTAAAAACAAAGTCCACAGGGTGCAAACGATCCACTTATTCGATTTTATCCATTAGGATCTTTTTAAAATATCAAGAAGTTGAGCACAAATAGTAAGCATTTCAACCCACCGTAATTCTTGCGCAAAGACAAAATTTCAAAAAGTGATCCTATAGCACCCTGGGCAATTATCTTCTCAACATACTGCATGAATTTCATTCAAAAATATTGAAAAATGGAGTGTCAGTTTTGAAGCAGCTGAACCCTTGTGAATGGCTTGAAACTCACTGCGTCTGAGCCGCCTTAGCGCGTCCGTATTGTTAAAACGTTTTACTTAAATGAAGTATCGATTGTTGCAAAGATTCGGAAGCTACGAGAAGATTTCGGTGGAAGTAATGTGCCCAGAGTCAACGCCATTCGTCAGTTTGTGCCGAAAAAATGCTCATATTCAATGATTAAAAACTTGGTTGAGAGTCATTATCACTGGACAACAAATTTTAGTTTTTTAATTGTATCTTGGGGGAAAAGTGCACTTCTTTGTTAATTTTGGAGCGCCGAATCCAAAAATGACAATGAAATAAAAAAATTAGTTGCGGTTTAGAAAAAAAACTTTTTATTTTTAAGGATATATTAAAAAAAGTAACAAGATTCATATACTTATAAGAATCACTATATGCGCTGTTTTTTGCTGTTCTTTTATGGATCGTTTCTGGAGCATCTCTACCAAGAGTCCAACAGTAGTCTGCAAGCATGGAAGGATTCCACTTTCCCTGGTACCTTTTTTCCATTGTTGAAATATCCTGATGAAAACGTTCGCCGTGCTCATCACTTACGGCTCCGCAATTGTCAGGAAAAAAGTAGGAAATGTATCTTAAGAGACGTATTACAGCCCATCTTGTGATACGATGACAGCATATTTTTGACAAGGGTTTTATAGTTGTCAGCTTTTCTATCTCCCAAGAAATTAGTGACCACCAGACGGAAATCATTCCAAGCAGTTTTTTCAATACCTGTTAAAGTGTTTTCAAACTGTGTATCTTTCAAAATATTTCGAATCTGTGGCCCAACAAAAATACCTTCTTTAACCTTTGCCTCACTTAGTCTTGGAAATTTCTGACGCAGGTATTGAAAAGCTGACCCATCTCTATCTAATGCCTTGACAAAGTTTTTCATTAGGCCCAACTTGATATGCAGTGGTGGTAATAAATTTTTTTTCGAATCTACTAATGGCATATGGTGTACATTTTTTTGACCTGGCTCTAGGAATTGACGAACAGGCCAGTTTTGTCTGGTGTAATGAAGTGTCTTTGCCCGACTGTCCCATTCACACAAAAAACAGCAAAACTTTGTGTAGCCTAGCTGCAGCCCAAGTAAAAGTGCAACAACTTTCAAATCGCCACAGATATGCCATTGGTGCTCATCGTATTTTATGCATGTCAATAGGTACTTCATATTGTCATATGATTCTTTCATGTGAACTGCATACCCTACAGGAAGAGGTGGTAAAATATTTCCAATATGCAATAACACTGCCTTTAAACTCAATGTTGAACTGTCTATAAACAATTCCATTCTTCTGGGTTATAGTTTATATTTAAAGCCGCCAGTAAGCCGCTAATGTTACTGAAGAAAACCAAGTTATTCTCCATATTGAAAAATGGTTCTAAGTCTTTGTGGCGTTTACGAAAAACACATACCGAAACATCGTCTTCTAACAAGTTCCACTGCTGCAGTCTTGATCCAAGTAACTCTGCCTTACATTTTGGAAGTTCTAAATCTCTTACAAGATCATTTAATTCTGACTGTGTTATTTTGTGCGGTTGGTGGCATGACGTGCTCGGTATAAAATCAGGATCTCTTGACGTTGATGGCATATCTTCTTCCTGACGAATCACTCGATCGCCATGATCTGATTCGTTTTCTGATTCGCAAGTGTAGGATTCTGGGAGTTTTGGGATAGGATTTTCGTCACTGTGAGGCACAGCTCTCATCGCAGATGGTATGTTTGGGTAGTTAATAACCGATTTTTTTTTCTTGGACATACCTGTGGCTTGTCCAACACAAGGTACCATGCAAAAGTGACAATCATTAATATGATTTGTAGGCTCTCTCTAAACCATTGGGACAGCAAAGCGCATAGACCGTTTTTTGCCATTTAACCAGCTCCTCAGACTTGAAGCACATGTATTACAGCAGATGTGGGGTGCCCACTGTTTGTCTTGATCACCTAGTTTACAACCGAAATAAAGCTGATATGCCTTTGTTATTAGTGGAGTAATAAACCGTCTCTGAGACGCAAAAGTCACATCACCACACACGTAACAAAACTGATCTGGATTGTTTACACACTTTCGAGACATCTTGCATGAACGCTGTCAGCCAACTGAGGAAAAAATGGCTAATATAAAACAATATAATGTACACGTATGTATAACGTAACACAATCATGCCGATTACATCATCTTTCCTTGCCAAATATAAAAATGTAGCACGTGCATTCTTTTGAATTACAGTATATTAACACTGTCACAGCAGGAACACATATAATTACCGTATCTCTAAAACTTGAACTAATATTGAAAAAATAAGTTTCATTCCGGTTTTAGCACATTAAAAATAGTAATATTTTGTTGATTTTATTTAGGATGTTTTTTGGCTGTTGATCAGTGTTATTTTTAAGAATGCTAGGTATCTAAATTAATCCTAAAACCTCCCACCATAAAACCTCGAAGTGTATTTGAAGACTAGTTTATTTCAAAGCGCAGGAAACAACCACGATTTAACTAAAGTGACGATTTAACTACAGCAGCTCAGTCCGCTCCATATAGTCCGAATTGTAAATGCTTAATCCAAAACTAATGAAAACTACTACCCAGCTGCCACTTTTTGCGCTCATTCCGACTTGCACACAGCTTTCTTTTATAGTGTAGCTAGCGTGGTTCTATACTAATTGTAAGTTGGTGTTTACGAACTTTGAGCATTAATGTCGCCTCATTTACCGCCGTAATCCGAATCTGCCTACCGGCGAGACCTCCGCAGTCCAGATTTTGCAATTAAAGTTTCCGACAAAGTAATAGTTCGATGGCGGGACGGAGAAATCGAAAACTTTCAAGACCAATTAGTTTTTTCATTAAGCCTGGACCGGCGGAACTGAAGCTTTTGATGTCGGGATGGCGGGGAGCGTTAATCCCTTTTTAATTTCAGACCATTTAAGTTTGTCCACTACTGCAGCTGGAATTCATTATTTTAATTTTCTGCTAGGATACACAGCAGCGCAGAAAGCTGAGATTTCACAGCACAAAAGCTCCGGAAGCATATATTTTTTGCTACGGAGGCCTAGATGTAGTCCGCCAACCAGATTACGGCAAACTCTTAATCAAATCCAGCAATATCCAGCATAGTTCAGGCTAGATAACAAAAAACTGAAAAAAGTTTCAGCAGATATTTTATAAAAAATTTATAAATTTATAAATTTTATAAATAATCAGTAAACTGAGGATTTGCTGACTAGCTCCTCCTTCAAAGTTTTATTTTTACAGTCGGAATATACAGGGTGGCGCACAGTGTGTTCCTTTATAGGGATCAGGGACAAAATTCGATATGTTAAAAACTAGCGGTCCTATTTGAATTCTGTAAACGCAGAGCGATTACTTATTTAAGTAGCTTTCTAAAGTATGACAAAAATTATTTAAAATAATAAGAAGGGGTGGGGGAGCAGGCGGGATGCATTTCGCATATATCGTTTTTTTTTTGTAAAAGTCAAAATATTGAGTTGATGATCTCGAATAAATTGGGATAAGGTAGGATGTTATTATAGCATTCTTAAGAGAGACAAAAAAGTCACGCTTTTATTTCTCAAGATCTTTACCGAACGATTTAAAAGATAATGTAGCCAACTTGTGGCGGGCGCAATATGATTTATTATATATTATATATCTATTTGAAAAAATAATAAGAATAATTCAAATAAAAAATTAATCTGTATAATTTGAAATTGATATTTAGGTTTTTATTTAAAAAAATATATTTAACAAAATAACAATTACTTAGTAATGTATGAAACAATAATATAAACTATATTAAAAAAATAACACCAAATATACCCATTCTAATCGGAATAGGATTTCTTGCTCGGTGCTGTGTCATTCGTTATTGTACCTAAGTCAATACCTAAATCATCATTTTCTTGCTTTTTTAAATAGTTCTCAACTGCCTCGTTGCATTTCTTATATTTTTTTGAGCTCACCTTTCTTTTTGACGATATAAAAGGATCAGAAGTAAGTAAAAGAACACGCATGAGATCCTTATTCGTATCTGTTCTTGAACATTTTCTGGTGTGAGATAATCGATGTTTCCTAACCTCTTTATGGCGAGCCTCAAGCGCATCCTCCGACAGTTCTCCGATGGGCAAACAAAATGCATCAATCATCTCACACCCATGAACCCTGGACCTTATGTACCGTGTCTGGCATGTTGTACCACTTATAAAGGTGGATATACAAATTTCTTGCTTCTTCCAGCAATGACGCAAACTTTTCCATATCAATAGCGCAACCACTAGCTAACACTTCTAAGATGATCGCAAATGTCTCGATTAATTCCCTGTCAACCCCTGTGATATCTAAACTTGTTTGTGGATTGTGGAAAAAAATTCTGGCCGTATTGCCATCATTTGAGGAGCCATACCCGGGTTTTGGTTTGTCAACTATTAGAGACAGCTTGGCTCTGAACTCTGCTTGGACTTGTTTTTTGTTTGCTTCGACTATAGCTTTGTTTTCAGGCCCACCAACCTGCCAAGATTTAATTGGCAGGCGGTATCCAATATGGAGTAAGCATTCAAAAAAAACGAATCCAGCAGAGTAAAGTTGACAAACCAAACCGGTAATTGTCTACGTTAGGAGAACGGTTAATCCCTGCTAACGTGTTCATGTCCTTGGGTGTGGCTCCGCAAATGGTGCACTTCATAGTTGAATTAAATCTGATAGAACGTTTCCAACACTGCCGTCCAACATTGTTAACATCATATCAACTTCAATTATATAAGAGTGCCCTTCTTTTGTTTCAATCTCAATAGGAATCAAATTTTCAATTTTTGTTATTATTTCCTTTTCTGTATTCCGCACTAAATCAGCATTTTCCTTTTTAAATAAAAACTTGATCGGCCTACAATATAAAGTAGATGAAGGGCTCTCATTTTTCCACAATACCTTATTCGTTTCCATATAAATCAATCTGAGTGGCGTCAAGAAACAGAAATTCGTCGGTGTTTTCTAAATCAGAAAATTTCTGCTTATATTGGCTATGTCCAGAACTGCCATCAAATCCCCACTTGCATATCACTTTAATCCGGCAATCTCTCTCTTCAAAATTTATGATTTCAAGGATACTTTCAGCTGTTTTCTGTAGAAGTTCTTGCAAACCAACTTCTGCAGAAATTTCAGTAATAATAGATTGTGAAGGGAGGATAGCATTTTTTGTTTTCTGTAATTCCTTATAACTAGGAAGGCAGTTCTGGGCCTTACCATTAATAACAGACCTAAGTAGCAAATACTTTCTTACGGATATATCCAAATCTACCATAAGGGCTAAAGCTTCAGCTGTACTAAAACTGAAAATTTGTGGCGAGACCTCACTGTGATTGCTTCCAGAAACGACATTTACAGCAAATTGAAGTTCATTTGCAGATCTGTCTGTGGTTAGTTCGGCTACACATCTTCGTTTTGTTTTCTTCGATGCCTCTTCAAATGGCACCCGTGGCCGTCCAACTGAGCGACAAGGAGGTTCTTGTTCCTCATCCGAAGATGTGTTTTCTTCAGAATCATTATTTATTCTATATATAATCTTGTCTAACCAATATACCTGATTTTGTAAAAGTCGATTCCGAGATTGTCCTACTTTCTGCCATTGATTTGCCATTTTCAACCCAAACAAGTGGCTGCATTTCATAATATTACTTTTAAGATGTTTGGACGGTTCATCTGTTATATCAATAAGAGATAATATCTTTTCAATCAAATCTCTATTTCTGACAATAGCACCATGTCCTAAAAAAAATTATATCTCCCTTAGACGTGGCATGACGTGATTTAAACTTTTTATCAAAACTTACCATGGACAGATAAACAATAAATAAAAAAAAAATTTAGAGTGATGGGAAGTGATTTTTGTAAAACTCTAAACAAAGTCAAAAGTTTAAAAAAAATTAAAAAAATCGGTAATACTCACTTTAACTTTATTTAAAATTTTAAATAAATCTATACATCAATATAATGTACTTACCAGCCTCATTACCAGCCATATTGGAAAAGTTAAAATATTTAAATATTTCGACACAAAATTTATATCTTTCCCGAGCAATAAAACAGAGAGATTTTTCGCCTTCTTGACAGGCCTTTAACTTTAAAGTTGCTAAAATAGGTAAATCGCAGCCAACTTGATTAAAGTACTATACTTACGTGTTGCAGTGACTATTTATCTATCCAATGGTATAATAAAAGCAACAGAATTCTAATGTCAAAAATTATGTTTGATTATCGGATACAGGAATGCCCCTTACACCAAAGATTTTGCGAAAATCCTATGTTAATGACAAAAAAATTCCTCACACATTTAATGAAAATAGTGGAATGGCAGGTAGAAAATGGTTGAAGTTGTTTTTGGACAGACACGAAAATATTCGACAAAGGAAAGCACAGGTTTTAAATCCAGCTAGGGCACAGAAAGTAAATAAGTACATTGTAAACGACTACTTCAAAAAACTAGAAAGTTTGCTGATTATACTAAACCTAATCAATCAGCCCTATCGTATCTATAATGTAGATGAGAAGGGGTGCAGACTCACCATCCACCGCCAACCAAATGTGTTGGCGAGGAAAGGTGAAAGACGTGTTCACTATGTAGCTAATGAGCACGCAGAAAATTCCACAATAGTTGCATGTGGAAATGCTATTGGACAGGCAATACCGCCAATGGTCCTGTTCATATGCCAACCGGAACAGTAATTGAAATGACCCAAAAAGGAAGTATGACGGCAACAGTGTTTGTTAAATGGCTAGACCATCTAGCAAACTATAAGCCACCAGGAGATATTCTTCTCATTTTTGATGGTGCCTCTTCTCATTTGGATGCAACTATTGTTGACGCCGCCGAAAAACATCACATCACTTTATTGTGTCTTCCGAGTAACACGACACAGGTGCTGCAACCGCTGGATAAATGTGTTTTCCGCAGTTTCGAATATCATTGGGAAAATGAAATACTTAACCATTACAAGCGGTATCCTGGCAGGAAGTTGAATCGTGCAAGATTTCGAGAAATTTTGAGGAAAGTGTATCCAAGGGCCATGTCTTCTGAAAATCTTCAGTCAGGATTTCGCGCAACAGGAATATACCCACACGACCCAGCTGCGATCCCGGAGACTGCATTTACTCCTAGTTTAATGTCAGAGAGGCCCGATTCAAATACTGCAGCTACAGATGTTCAGGAGGAGAATGAGGAAAACCATGATGTCAGCTTTACAGAATCTGATGACATACCCCTTGCACTACTGATGGCCAACGGAACTTCAATGTTACAGATAACAGCTACTTCTAATGAAAAAGAAATAAACTCGACTCAAAAGTTTGCAGTTCTTGAAACAACAAATCTTGTGACTGGTCAAATAGACAGTGATCAATTGGATATAAGTTTCAAGGAAGTACTTCCCACACCCGAATGGAAGGCTAACGCCACAAAAAGACGAAAAGCCATCAATTCTACTGCGCAAATCGTCGTAAGAGATTTGTTTAAAGACCCATCCGGCTTAGATAAAGCAATAAAAAAATCTAGTGAGTCTGGAATAGTTAAAAGCAAAAGATCCCGAAAGAATAAAGACGAAAACTGGTACTGTTTCATATGCGATAAGGATGAAGTACGTGACATGCGTCTGTGTGTAGTATGCTTAAGATATGTCCATGAGGAATGTGTAGGCTTGTGTAGAGGTGCTAAAGTATCATTTGTTTGTCATCATTGCGAAGGCAAAATCTAAGATCCTGTATGATTTTCTTTAAACAAGTTGACTTTTTTTATTTAAATCTGTCTAGATTTAAGTGTTTTTTTAATTTTGTTTAATTAAAAATATAGCTTCGTTTATTATACAGTCTTGATTTACATTTTGATTGTGGTTTTATTGAAAACCAGATGGTGGCCTTATTTGGATACATGGGTTCCTAATAAGGCCAACGGTAGTGTTTCGAAAAATATATTTTTTTTATATGAAAAGAAAAGGTCTCTGAGTTCTCCGATGTAGCTTGTGTAATAAACATATCTACAATAATACCTTTAAAATTTCAAGGTCGTTTCTCACATATTTACGCAGTTACAGCTATCCCAACGTTAATGTGGCCTTATTTGGTACAGGTACCTTACATCGATGCTTTTAGAGTTTTTAATAGAATTAATCGCATCTCTAACTTCATTGTATGTAACATCACGAAAAGAAAATTGATTTTTTCTGCTATGATTATCCATATAGCTTAGTGGTGAAGTGCCATGCGACGGTAAGCTTTCTGAAAGGTTATTAACAACGATGGTGAAAAATGAATTAAACTCGTTAGCGTTTAGTGTTGCGGTAATTTTTTTATTGACAGGAGCTGCATTAGTTTTTATAATATTCCACATCGCTTGTTGTTAATTGTTCGATGAGTTTATATACACACCGTGTGCATCTTGCTTACGTTCTACTATTTCAGCTCTATACTTAGATTTCAGGCAATTAATTTCGGATTTACTTACAGTTGATAAATGGATTTTTATTATTATTATTATTATGATAATTGAGATGAGCAGAGTACACAGTACTATAAGCTCATGCAGTAAATATAGTGTACGGACACGTAACACAAATACATCAAATAGAAAAAAATAAAAAAAGACAGTTCATAGCTATAAAGTTTGTACACTCCTCCAGCTATCATACTGCACTTTGAAGCTATTAACTGAAGTAGCACCAACCACACTTTCTGGTAAACTATTCCAGGTGTTGAATATGCGGTTGGGAAGAAACCACTGTCGGACTGTTGTTTTAAATGACTCCTTATGCAGTTTGAAGCTGTGTCCGCGTAGATTGCTGCTCGACAGACGGTATAGATACATGAGGTTGGTGCCCATCAAACCATGAAGTATCCTCAACGTAACTATAGGATCGCCACGAAGTCTTCGCTCAGAGAATGAGGTCAGGTTGAATAATTCAAGGCGATCTTCATAGCTTGGTCTTCGTGCTCCAAAAGGGATACGAGTAGCCCGACGCTGTACTGATTCGACAAGATTTCTATCGCGCAGAAGCACAGTGTCCCATACCGGGCCAGCGAATTCAAGAATTGGCCTCACGAATGCCTTGTAAATGTAGGCGCAAGTGTTGCCATCGGATCCTTTGAAAGACCTCTCCAGCATGTATAGAAGTTTCTTGGCTTTTGATGTAACGTGGTGAATATGCTGTGACCAGGAAAGACGATCGTTGACTACAACGCCCAGATCAGTGTGGCTGGAGACTGCTTCGATGTTTTGGTCAGAGGTCTTGTATGTAAATTGCGGATTTGTCTTCCCGAGGTGAAGGACACAACACTTAGTTAGATTTAAGGGTAAAAGCCAACTAACTGACCATTGACAAACAATATCAAGATCTCGTTGAAGCATAGCAGAATTTACGACAGTATTGTAAATCTTGGTGTCGTCGGCATAAGCTGAACATGTGGAGGAAACCAATGCGGGCAGGTCACTTGTATACAGAAGGAACAGCACTGGCCCCAAGACAGAGCCTTGAGGAACTCCACTTGCTACATGATGAGGGTGAGACTGGCTATCACTGACGCGCACAGAGAAAGTCCTCCCGGTGAGAAAAGCCTTAATCCACAGTAACAACTCGCCTCTTATTCCCATACATTCCAACTTAAACAGAAGCCTTCTATGTGGTACGCGATCGAAAGCCCTAGAAAAATCTAAGTAGATTATATCAACAGGAGTCTTTGTGCAATTCTATCAAATTTAAGTGATCGCGCAAGCCACGTAACTCATTGTCAAACCATTGGACTTGTTCCTGTTTATTTTGGAAAACGCGTGTCTTCTCTGGTAGACATTTACCCACCGCATCGGTTGAAGTGGATCCGAGCTTACACAATATTACTCAGGGTTTTTCGTGGGTTTCAGTAATAACGACGGCGATATGGCTAACAAACTTTAATGGTAGTAAGGCGCAAAATAATTCACTAACTTAAAAAAAAACATGGAACCCGGTAATCCTTAAATCCGGAAGATGGTCACGTCACCTGTTGCCTCTCTCGGCGGCGAAGGGCAACTGCCCCCTCGCTCGATCTACCACAATTTCGTCCACTGTTGCCGAGTTGCCGCGCACCTCACTGAACCACTACACGGTCATAACACGTATGAACAGCTCAAGCTTCATCGTTTAGATTTGCATCATTCTCAAACTGCCAGCCAGAACTTTCCAAGCTGCTGTAAAGTAGAAAAAGACGAGTATCAGTAATTGGCCGATAACTGACCCTTTTGAAGCTGTTTTTTTTACTAGGTTGGAAACAACAAAACTCGATCCCCGGGTGATCCGACAAGTAAGTATCAAAGATATTCGTTTTGAGAAAAAAGCTGCTTTGGATGTTTGTAAAAATGTTATCTAAGCAATGCGACCCTCTCGTACTGTCCCTGATCGTAAATGTTGCATTCCGTAACAGCTAAATATACTATACACACACCAGCTTTTGCAGTCAGTTGACGAATCAAGCTGAAAATTTAATCATTTTACTAGTAAGGGGCACTTAACATATGAGTATATGCTAGAAATTATTAAAATCGGATAAACATACGTAGGTGTTTACCTTTTTTTATCTCAGTCTATATGAGTATATTGAGAAGGTATGTATCATAAAATATTTTATGAAGCTTTGAAAGGCACATTTCTATGTAAGCTGTCTAGTGTTTCAGTTCTGTCTTTCTCGACAGGAGACAGTGGCGGGAATTGCCAGTGGAGGATGTCCGAAATTCATTAAACTTTTCTTGCCAGATAACCAGCGGCACCTATATCTTCCATCCGTATTCAGCGCCATTAAAACTTCGAAAACTAAAACAAAAACTATGCTCGAGAATAAAAGCTCATTTAAGGAAATGAGTAATCGGGGCCGTATTCTCCCTTTCCGAAGTTATTTATGTTTTATTCGGAGTTTACAGAATGCAAACACTGAAACCGCTGTATGGCAAACGGGTCATACGTAATTTTCTATGTGTGACGTTTACCGTTGCTTGCATTGTGTGCAGTATTGTCTTTAGAGACGAGTCTCGATTTTGTTTAGGCATGCATGATGGTCGTGCCAGAGTTAGAAGGCGACGTGGTGAAAGGAGGAATCCACAGTTTTTTGTTGAAAGACATGTTCATCACACTGTTGGAGTTATGGTTTGGGGTGCTATAGCTTATGGTTCCAGGTCACCTTTAATCTTCATCAGAGGTAACATGAACGCGCAGCGTTATATTCACGAAGTTCTAGAACCCCATCTTTTACTCTATATTGACACCCTGGCAGATCCAACTTTCCAACAAGGTAATGCCCGACCACATGTTGCAAGAGTCGCAATAGACTTCTTTCAACATAATGATGTCACATTGTTACCATGGCCACCAAGATCTCCCGACTTATCCCCAATTGAGCACGTGTGGGATATGATGGGTAGGAGGTTGCTCAATTTGCAACGTCCTCCTCAGACTCTAGAAGCACTTCGAGAGGAGTTGGTGGTTTCCTGGAATGAGATACCACGGGAGGACATTGACCACCTGATCAGACGCATGCCTAGGCGCGTTAGAGAATGCGTAGCACATCAGGGTGCATCCACACATTATTAAAGGTCAAAGGGCTTTAAAGCAGTGCGATCATTTTGAAATTTTTATCATTTACTTATTATGCTTCATTAAGTACTTATACAAAATTTTATTAGAATAAAACCATTTAAACTGGGTGTTCTGATTTATATGTCACTTAGTATAGGTGTATTAGATATTTTACACAAAGTAATAATTATAAGGCTAAACACCTTGGTGGTTTTTAACCAGTTTTGAATCTTGAGGCTAAACAACTGCTAATGAGGTAATTTTCTATTGAAAAAAGCCTGAATTTTTCGTAGATATACAAATAATATCTCTATATTATTATATAACATTAGATTCAACGTTTTACTAGGATATCTTTAGCCTTCATTAGTACTTAAGTAACTTTGTCTGAATTTGAATTAGTAGTTCGTTTTTAGACCAAGGTCAGTAGGATGCATAATTCCGCTTCAAAGGGATTTTTTGATGAAACAATTTCCAAACGATCCCCATTGGAGAAAGCAGTGTACAGCAAAAATGGCAAAATAATGGCAACCAACAAATTCCGCAACTTTATGCGAGGTAAGGCAAGCCAGTATTGCTTTGTATTTGCCTATTTTGTTTAAATTATAGACGATATAGAATATACTACTGAATTTATTAAAGTTGTCAGAATCACTGCCTTTTCATTACTGTCGTCTCTTCTGTCTGCTGGTTAGGTGTGATCCATCATCCTGATATTAATTCTAAAGTTGAGTATTTGAATAAACTAATTCTATTTATTCTAGATACAAGAAGGTATCCATAAGGTCTCTCCTTGGATAACACCGAACATACGTCTCACGATGAAACTGAGATAAAGCTTATTTCAGTTATAAAAACTTATAAAAGAAAAATCTAGCAAAAAGTCATTGAACAAAAATGAACTTATTACAAACAATTACGAAATTTAGTAACTGCATCCATCCGTAGAGAGAAGAAGGCTTACGTTGAGTATCAACTGAAGCAAAAAAAAAATTCTCGTGTAAATATATACTAAGTGACATATAAATCCGAACACCCAGTTTAAATGGTTTTATTTTAATAAAATTTTGTATAAGTACTTAATGAAGCATAATAAGTAAATGATATAAATTTCAAAATGATTGCACTGCTTTAAAGTTCTTTGACCTTTAATAATGGGTGGATGCACCCTGATGTGCTACGCATTCTCCAACGCGCCTAGGCATGCTTCTGATCAGATGGTCAATGTCCTCCTGTGGTATCTCATTCCAGGCAACCACCAACCCCTCTCGAAGTGCTTCTAGAGTCTGAGGAGGACGTTGCAAATTGAGCAATCTCCTACCGATCATATCCCACACGTGCTCAATTGGGGATAAGTCAGGAGATGTTGGTGGCCATGGTAACAATGTGACATCATTATGTTGAAAGAAGTCTATTGTGACTCTTGCAACATGTGGTGACACTTTTCCCAGAATTGTGGAAATTAGCAACTGTAATACCTTTGCCAAAGACTGATAATCCGCTGGAACTTAGTGATTATAGACCTATCAGTCTATTGCCTATATTGTCTAAGTGATTAGAAAGAATTGTATTTGGGCAGATGTCTATTCATATAAAAAAATATAACTTGATACCTTCCACACAATCTAGCTTCAAACGTGGACATAGTACTGTAACTGCACTGATCGATGTTAGTGACGACTACTTAAGAGCCATAGACGATGGTAACGTTACAACATGCGGGATGCTAGACCTGTCAAAAGCTTTTGACTGCATAGATCATAGATTTCTTTTGGCAAACTTGTCTTTTTTTGGATTTTCTGCGTCATCTCTTGCCTGGTTCTCTACTTATCTATCTGGTAGATCACAAATGGTGAAACTTGGAGCAAAAATATCTTCGAAATGCAATGTTATGCAAGGTGTTCCGCAGGGTTCGATCCTGGGGCCAATTTTATTTAAGCTTTTTGATGTATCAGATTTCAACGAGTCTATTTATTATTATAAAGTTCACTCCTATGCAGATGACAAGCAGATCTACCTTTCATATAATCCTGATGATCCTTACAAGCCAATACCAAACTGTAAAGAGACCTACAGGTTGCAAATCAATATTTATCTAGCCATGGATTACTTATAAATCCAAGAAAATCCACCGTCATTACCTTTAAATCCAAGCTAAGCAATTTTGACAGTAAAGTTGTCAATTTATCTATCGGAGGTGAGCCACTCCATCATAATCTGCAGATACAAAATTTAGGTGTGCTTTTTGAATCATCGTTAACATTCCATGACCATGTCACAAAATTAGTACAAAGCTCATATAGTGCCTTGAAAAGCATATATATACTAAGTGACATATAAATCCGAACACCCAGTTTAAATGATTTTATTTTAATAAAAGTTTGTATAAGTACTTAATGAAGCATAATAAGTAAATGATAAAAATTTCAAAATGATTGCACTGCTTTAAAGCCCTTTGACCTTTAATAATGTGTGGATGCACCCTGATGTGCTACGCATTCTCCAACGCGCCTAGGCATGCTTCTGATCAGGTGGTCAATGTCCTCCTGTGGTATCTCATTCCAGGCAACCACCAACTCCTCTCGAAGTGCTTCTAGAGTCTGAGGAGGACGTTGCAAATTGAGCAATCTGCTACCCATCATATCCCACACGTGCTCAATTGGGGATAAGTCGGGAGATCTTGGTGGCCATGGTAACAATGTGACATCATTATGTTGAAAGAAGTCTATTGTGACTGTTGCAACATGTGGTCGGGCATTATCTTGTTGGAAAGTTGGATCTGCCAGGGTGTCAAGATAGGGTAAAAGATGGGGTTCTAGAACTTCGTGGATATAACGCTGCGCGTTCATGTCACCTCTGATTAAGATTAAAGGTGACCTGGAACCATAAGCTATAGCACCCCAAACCATAACTCCAACAGTGTGATGAACATGTCTTTCAACAAAAAACTGTGGATTCCTCCTTTCACCACGTCGCCTTCTAACCCTGGCACGACCATCGTGCATGCCTAAACAAAATCGAGACTCGTCACTAAAGACAATACTGTTCCATTCCTGATCCCGGAGTGACCGTTGTCTGCACCACTCAAGGCGATTACGTCGGTGTTCTCGACTTAAAGGGAGGACCCGGTGTGGCCAATAGGTCTTCCATGTTCTGCAAACCATTCATTTGCAATGGACCTGGTAGTGGAGAAACGGTCCCTAAAGGCCAATAACCTTAGGCGGCGATATTCACGGTCTGTTGTTCTACGGCGGCGTCCAGTGCCCCTTGCTCTTTGCGTACGGCCTTCTCGAAGCCATGCCTGACAACACCTAACCACAGTGTCTACACTTCTTTGCACTCTAACTGCAATTGCCCGAAAAGAAAGTCCAGCTTCCCGAAGTCCCACTATACGGCCCCTATCAAACTCACTAAGTTGACGAAATCGTACAGGTCTCCGTACTCTAGGCATCGTAACCGATCGTAAAGGATGTCAAGAACCAAAATCCGCCAACGTTGATTATTTACTGCGGCTGAAATATTCATTTTTAGAGCGTTAGTGAATTAAAAAAAAGCAGTATAAAAACCGGAATGTCCAACTGATAAGGCTGAAAATTTTTTCACTTGTTATTTACAGTAAGATAAATACATTCACTAACTTTTATTAAAATAAAACCATTTAAACTGGGTGTTCGGATTTATATGTCACTTAGTATACTTACCAAATTTGTGTTGACAAGCCTCATAAAAATTCATCCACTCTTTTGAACCAGAATAACTTTGGCTTATATACATCGTCAGTGCCTGGCTCCACTTTTTTTATATCTCAAAACTGTTGTTAATTCTTTTTTATACATGGTTCGTATCGTCTTTATTTTATTTTTAATATCCGCTTAATGCATTTCCTCTAGCTTCTTTATTTTTGTAATTGTCCAGTTTATGATTCCAAAGACAGTCATGATATAATTCTGTAAATTTGAACATAAGACTTTCTGACCACATTAAACTCAATTTTCTGTTTTGAGTGATAACAATTTAAGCGGACTGGCGAGATAAGAGTGATTCAAGTCGACCAACAAATGTTCAGACGCTTAACGCATAACCTGAACGATGAAGTTTGAATCGATCAATCTTTCGTAGAATCAACAAAAGTTGACCGATTAAAATTGAAACATATGTTCTCACAGCTATTCTCATTCGATTTTAGTTGATCCAATAAAGTTGATCAATAAAAATCGAACCGTGAGGATGCGCCTTAACCAAACCAAAAAATGGTAACAAGCCCACATAATGTCGCAGCGCCCCACGCACTCGGGCGACCGCGACCAGACACGAGCCGGTGCCGACGGTCCCCGACGGACTACCAAGTGTATCCATAAATGAAAATGGTAACAACCGACAACGTGTTCACAAAACCTAGACGCTATAGGGTGCATTATTTTCGTGCGGCTAATTCGCTACTTACTGAATTACTCTTACATATCGCCGTTGTTAAACAAATAAAAGAAATTTTTTCACGGTACTTAGTCACAAAATATTTATTTTTAAGATTTTTAACTCTTACCAACGGTAACAATGGTTACATGCCCACAGGTAGGTTCCGAGGATAGATCCCCCGGTTTGAATTTAATCATCGCGCGGTCCTGCTGCCGGTATTACGTACACTTGGGCCTTAGCCGGTCAGTATGCGGTAGAGAGACCACAACCTTTGATAAAAGTGTTTGTCCAATTTAATTACTTTGGCGCAGACAAATTTTCTTCTGGAACTCCAGGGAGAGGAGGAATAAATTAAAAGGAAAGGGTTTTCATGCTCTGCCACTTAACGGCGCCTAACGCCATAAAGTATCGCCGGATCTGCTTCAAATAAACTGCGGATGTTAATGACGTTAATGTCGATCCGGGAAAGGATACGACACGAGCCTGGCCTGGCGTGACGAGAGGCAATCATTTGATTACATCATTAGATTAGTAGACTTCCGGCGAGACGTTTCGTTTTAAGAGTTCTACAAAGTGTACTTTATTGGACACCACAAATGAAAGATGTGATAATTTGAGTTATTATAGAACATAACTTCAAGCAAATAAGATGCTAAAGTTGTGTCTGTAGACATTCGTAGACATATGACTCCCATAATACAAATTTTGGTCAATGTAAATACCTAGGAACTTTGTCCATCGCGCTGATGGTTGGATTTCGTTGTTGATCAAGACTAAGAAAGTTTGTTTTTCCTGAATTGTGAAGTAATTTGTTCTTAGTATACCATTTTTTGGCTACAGTCATGCTAAATCGTAATGTCAATAAAAATAATTCCTCTTGATATTGCGCTGGACAAGTACAATGAAAACATTGGAAACAACTGCCTGGCGTAGGTAAAATCCGATTTCAACACAATACGACGTCGTATTTGCTCAGTCTAATTACCCCAGGCCGAGTGTATACGACGGGCGACTGTGGAGGTCTCTAACGGGAAGGAAGCGAATTAGGCAAGGGCTGCGGTTACCCTTAATTAGTTACAGACACGTACTCCGCCCTACGCCCTATAACTTGATTACAAAAAGAAGCCACCGGGCGGCTTCGGGACGAAGCGTAAGAACCCTCATAAACAAATCAGCCCGACTTAAGTTGTTTACCTTGAATGTACTTCCGTGATGCGGCAATTCACCGATGGAGCAATTAAGAAAATTTCGGGAATTCTAAGATCAATTTGCGTTGATTTGTTGTATTACGTATCTTGAGAAGTGACATTTTGTCGTTTTTTTTGACATTTCGTAGATTTTTTATGACATAACGTAGGTTTTCCTACAAGATTTCAAGTTCGCACTAGCTGTGGTTCACTTGATGTGTTGTCTAAACATCGTGATGCTTTGGCAGTCAATGTTTGGCTTTGGTGTGATGTAGCATTTCCTTCAGAGATGTTCATATTCGATTGTATACATTGCATACGTTGTATACATTGTATACATTGTATACGTTGTATACATTGTATACATTGTATACATTGTATACGTTGTATACATTGTATACATTGTATACGTTGTATACATTGTATACATTTGATACATTGTTTACGTTGTATACATTGTATACGTTATATACGTTGTATACATTGTATAAGTTGTATACATTGTACACGTTGTATACGTTGTATACGTTGTATACATTGTATACACTGTATACCTTGTATACCTTGTGTACATTGTATACATTGTATACATTGTATACATTGCATACATTGCATACATTGCATACATTGCATACATTGTATACATTGCATACATTGCATACCTTGTATACATTGTATACTACATTGTATACGTTGTATACATTGTATACATTGTATACATTGTATACATTGTATACATTGTATACATTGTATACATTGTATACATTGTATACATTGTATACATTGTATACATTGTATACATTGTATACATTGTATACATTGTATACATTGTATACATTGTATACATTGTATCCATTGCATACATCTAAACATTGTACACATTGTATATAGAGTATAAGAATGCGGAATCGCCGGTCACTGTGCTTGATGAATTTAATCAAATTGTATACATTGTATATTAGACCGATGCAGACGGTCCAAGGGGAGTAACAGATAATAAATATTGCCGTTACAGCAGCAAATATAGTAACGGTACGATGAACAGGATAGTTGTAATGAATCTCAACAAAAATACATGCGATTTGATTACTGGTTTTGCACTTTCCCTTGAATAACTTTGCTGTGAAGGAAGACAAACCAACCAATTCAAAGCTGGCTTCTAATTGCAGTCATAGTTTCCCTAAAAGTTACTATAGATGCGTTGTTGCCAGATGCAAGTTGATCTTGACTGAAACTAATTTGAGGTTCACCTTGCCATTCGGGTTACCTTTGACTAAATTTAAGAAAGATATTTGTTTTTCAGCTCACTTGAAGTCTTAGTTGGAATTTTCAGATGTTTAATCATGTAAATATGTTATCTTAAGACCTTGAAGTGTAATACATCTACTAGGTTAGATGAAAGGGTAGCCTTGAGCTAAGTCTCGTCTTTTGTATCTAATGGTGATAAAGACGATTATTAGTATGATTATTATGCTGATAATAATTGTCAGCTGGGACTTTTTAATTTGGCTTTACCGTTTCACTCTTTTGTCGTATTTAAGGAACAAGCTTTCGTGGAAGGTAAAAGAATAATGGAATAAGATGAAAGAACTGTCAACGTTAACAGTCGTAACGTAATGGGATGCTTTCAATATATGATGCGCCGAATACGCGATCTAGATTCACCTTCTAAGAATCTGAGAAGGCCTTAAAGACAAAAACAAAAGAATCACGGCAGCAAATTCTGCTCCTGGGCTTGTAAGCATCTCTTTTCAAACAAGCACTTGGCCTGCATCGCTCTTCACTAGAAATATTGACACTCTGTGTTCGACGCTCTGCTATTCTCTGCAATTTCCACCCGTCCCGACTCGCGTCCTCTTTTATTTGATAAAACGCTCGTTTCAATACCATGCAAAGTCGAATAAAAATAAAGAGGCGTCCTCTAGCTTAATGCAATTTCAATTCTACGTATATTCGCTTGTGTTCGGCGAGAGAATTTCACCCCGCAAGTTGTTCAGTTGCAATCAGTGGCGTATCTTTTACTTCCCGCGCCTTCTATAGCTTGTTTATAGTTTACACAAGACTACTACTAAAAAGCTTTGTAGGTTTTGAAGACCTATCCAGTCGCGCCGGAGCTGCGGTAAATTCTAAAATAATTGAAACCCCTTGAACTTTCTTTATTTCAGTGAATCCTGATTATTTTTGGAATCTGTCTTATCACCTATTTTACAGACCTCCGTATATTTGCCCTTAAGATAGAACGAATTATTCTCACTATCCCCATCGAGCTGTCTATATAGGTAGAGATAGAGGGTGTTCGTATTACAAAGAAGAGCCGTAAGGATTGTAATTCAGGGACGACTACAGAAAAGCTTTTGAAGAACATCATATTTCCACGTTACCATCTCTATAAATATCAGAAAATTCGCTATACGTCAATAAAGATATTACTTAAAAGTTGAGGATATTTATGGACATGATGTCAGAAACAAAGCAAACTCAGTTTCACTCAGCTGGCTCTTGAGAAGGTGCATGGTTTTAAGTACTGGGCATTGAAATAATTTAGTGTTAATTCCCCATGCTTGTCTGGTCAATAACAACCACATAAACTGACAGAATATTCCTTGCTGTCAACGTTCCAATCACAAACGTGTTCTTCCTCGGTACAATGACAATGCGTTACATTATCAGTGTAGCAGTTGAAGGGAATTATTCATTGAACATCTTCGTCTTCGTTTCCGTCTCCGTCTCCGTCTCCGTCTCCTTCTCCGTCTCCGTCTTCGTCTTCGTCCTCGTCTTCATCTTCGTTTTCGTCTTAGTCCGCGTCCTCGTCCTCGTCCTCGTCCTCGTCTTCGTCTTTGTTTCCGTCTCCATCTTCGTCTTCATCTTTGTCTTCGTCTTCGTCTTAGTTCGCGTCCTCGCCATCGTCCTCGTCCTTGTCTTAGTCCTCGTCCTCGTCGTCGTCCTCGTCCTTGTCTTCGTCTTCGTCTCCGTCTCCGACTTCGTCCTCGTCTTCGCCTCCATGTTCATCCTTACAAGATAGCAATTGTGCAAGAGCTTACTGAATGTGACTTCAATTCTCGGATGAACGCGTATGAGCGTCTTCTCGGACAAGCTATTCTTCTTTCCTATGATGAAGCCCATTTTCGATGGTGTGGACTCGTCAAAAAACCCCGAGAATTGAATTAAAGGCATTTGTATTCACCTAAAGTCACAGTCTAATGTGTCCTCGGTACAATGACAATGTGTTACATTATCATTGTAGCATTTGAAGGGAATTATTCATTAAACATAACTTCGCCTTCGCCTTCATCTTCGTCTTCGTCTTGGTCTTCGTCTTCGTCTTCGTCTTCGTCTTCGTCTTCGTCTTC